CGTTAAGGTACGTTTTCCCGTTCACGGTCACAAATGTGGGAGTTTTCTGGGTATGCTGCAAACGTTACAACAGCGATGTTTTTTAATCAGTCTGCCTAGATTGTTTTATAAGTCTGGAAATGATAAAAGTCACAGAAGTTTCAGTAACAACCATATCTTCCAGCGACAAGTAGGGAATAGTTTGCCCCCGTTGAGCTGATTCCAGTGGCATTAAGGAGGCTAATTTTAATGTCAGATCCTTTAGAGAGCAGTCTATTGTTGAGATTGACCTAAGGTAGTTCAGGACCTTGCTAACATCCCATGTCTCAGCATATCTTGTGTTGGAGGGTCCTGCTTCATAAACTCCTCACACTAACCTTTTTACACTTTCTTGTGCTCCAAATGTTATCCTGTCAACGGGTTTTATGAGACTGGATAGAACAGACCTCACAGTGCTAATGCCGCAGTAACCAATGCCCAACTCAAATAACTCCACTGAAATATTTAGCTACTGGGGAACAGTGGCAAAAACTGGATCAATCTGTTTTTGATGACAATATGTAGGCCATCATTTGATGTAGTAGGAGTACTGCTTAGTATTTCCTTTCCTTCAGAACTGTAAGATAAAAGAGGCTGCCTTATGAGAAAATCCCCGTGTCTCATAGGAATGCTAGACAATCTGCAAACAATCGGAACCATTTTCTTGATTAAGGGGTGAACTTCTTGTTTCATCCCTGGGATTTGCAAGGCAGTCCATTGTGATCGTATTACTCATGGGACATCCACTAACATGCAAGGAAGTTTGGGGTACCAACTTTGGCTTAGCCACATTGGAAATATCATGAAGCTTTCTGCCTAATCCATCTGTATCTTCTGTAGACATCTGGCAATTAAACTGAAAGGGGCAGGGGGAAGCATAGAAAAACTGTTTATCTTTCACTTTAACTTTAATTAGTGTAATGCTTAATCCTGCAATGGTGGGTCAGCAGGGTGCTCAGGTGACATATTTACAGTGAAGGTGAATACAAATTGCATAAAAGACATCCAATTTTAATGAAAAATTATCAATAAAAGCTGCCCCTGGATTTGTTTTCCAAGATACATAACATGAGACCTGGTGATTTAGTCTGGATGCAAAGAGATCTATGGAGGGCTCCCCACAGATTTCTGTAATCTGCTGGAAAATGTCAGGTCTTATCATCCATTCCTTGTTGTCTGAGAAAACATGAGATTCTCAGTCTGCCTCAACATTTTTTTGTCCCTGGAATATGCGGAGCTGTCAACCATATTTGTTTATCTATGCACCATTGTCAAATATCTTTAGCAATAGTATTACATTCTCTAGGATGTATACCCCCATAGCATTAATACAGTTCACAGTTTTAGAGTTATCTGAGTAAATCTGAACATGGATGCCTTGCTCATTATTTTTTGCAAAATGTCTAAAGTCCAAACTGTCCCCCATCCTTTAGTTGATGCATCAGTATAAATGATTACACGAACCTTTCAATTAGTCAATAATATGGGGTAGTTGACAGTTGGTATGTTATCATGCCACCGCTTTATCTCTGAAATGCTTTCTCATTTGAGCAATGTAATTGCCTTTACTTTGTGTCAAGGCAGTAGTTTTGTCCATCTCAAGGTGTCTATAAAACAGTAGTCTAGATAAGACCCCAGGGAAACTTGATACGAGCGGGCCTATAAAGCTTGCTTGTTCTGGATTGGTAGTTCAATGAGTTCCATCATTTTCTTGCAACTTTCCCTAATGCACTGGATCTTTTCCTGTATTAGGGAGACAGTCATATTAACTGAGTCCAAGACCAATCCCAGAAATATTATAAGGAATTGAAATGACTTTAGGACTGACTTCACCAGCAGTAAAATAAAACCCAACTTTGTGAATAAATCACAAGTATCATTAATATTGGCTTGCCAGTCCTCAGTGCTCTCCCCTTGAACTGTACATGGACATAAGAGTCATCAATGTAGCCAACATTCAATTGACCCTTCTGGTGTAGCATAGCATACACTAGCTTAAAAAAAGTTTGTAAAGAGTCTGGGTGCACAAGCCAGATCATTTGGTAAGCTGGTGAACTGAAACAATCAACCTTTCCAGCAAAACCTCAAAAATTGTTTCTCTTCATCGTGAATTGGCACGCCCATTGGGAGTCATAGGCCCAATTGCTGATTCTAGGGTATCCATCTTAAAATGCTGGTGCTCCACATGTTCATTCAAATTCTTCAAATTAAGAATTAATCTATACTCCTCATCTTTCCTAGGGCATACAAATATAGTAGAAATGTATTTACCAGGACAATGTGTAGTTTCTGAAATAACACCTTTAATCAGCAGCTTGTCAATTTCCTTGTCATTGACCTCCTGCTCTTGTTGTGGAAAGTGTATTTCTTTCAGCAGCATCTCAATTCTCAAACTCACACTATTAAGTATGAAAGGATCTGAGGTTATGCATTGCCACTGAGGGGCAAATTGGTTAGTTACCCGCTTATAATGCCAATAGATTGTGCCGACATATTTCTTACCTCAACATCAACTATCTTTTATGTATAAATTCTCACACAGTCTCACAGATTTTTTAGTAGAAGCCCACCTAAAACAAAATGATGAACGAAGAACCCGTTGGAGCCCTTTTAAGTTTATAGTTCTAGAGCAAAGAAAGATATTTTTAAGTTTTCTTTCTTCCCACAAACAATCAATGAATAGAACTGTCTTCCTCAGGATATTGTGAATACAACATTTGTAGATAGTTTTAAATCAAAGTTAGTTGATAGTTAGTAATATTCCATTTTATTAGTTTTATTTCGATTTGTTTCATTTTTTATTTTTTAAATATCCCATTGTATTATTTTTATTCAGATTTTTACAGTTGGTGTGATATCTCACGATTTTTACAGTGAAGTTTTACTGTTTTGGCACCAACAACACCATCAACAACTTTGACATTCACTGCTATGTGTTCGTTTTGAAAAGTCTTTTTTCCCCTTGGGCTCGACATTAATAATAATAATAATAAATAATAACAATAATCAAACATTTATCCAGGATAACCCTTCAGTACAAAGTACTGTTATCAATGGGGTCCTGATGTTGGATCAAACATCTGTTTGCTTTCAAAGGTGGCAACACAGTTAGTTCTCGCAGGTGCAATGCTATCTGTCATGTGAGCCCTCAGTGCAGTGACAGAGTAGAATTATATATAGCCAGGCATGATTGACATCAATTGATTGGTATGAATTGTTGACGATCACAGCAATTCCGTGTTTAACTTGTGACAATTTTCAAAGCTAAAACAAAATAGCCTGTCAACCGATTGTCATATGATGTTTTTAATTTAATTTGAAGAAGATGCTTATAGTAACATACTAAACCATAAATAACCTACCAAGGTTTTACAAAATGGAATTTGATCAAATGTCATGACTTGTAATATAAATATAAATTCTAAAAACTTTGAGGCTACCAGTTTGGTTGAAAATGACCCCCAATTGAAGCATTGTTTGCTCATACCATCCATTGCAGGTGTGTCCAAATTTTTTTCTGGAAATTATACCCAATATGTTACATTTGTCATCACTGTCATGTTAAAATATTTTCTCTTCATATACCTTAATGGTAGAGTGAGAGGTGAAAAAGAAAGTGAAAATGCTCATTTATCAAGAGGCCAAGAATTTGGTAAGTACCATTATTTTGGCAATGCAATCATAATTTAAGCTAAGGTGACTAATAATTTGGAGCTGGTTGAATTTCTTGTTAAGCATTTGTCTATCAAGTTATCGACGTATGCAAGAGCTTGAAGAGTATGAGATAGTTGCTCGAGGAGAGTTGGTATAATGTATTCTTTAGGACAATTGATATCTCCATGGAAACAATAAACAAAAAAATGAAATTGGTTATGAAAACAATTTTGCACAAACCAGATGTACATACATACATACTTTATTCGTCCCAAAAGGGCTTTTCAGAATAAAGATAGAACTATTAAAGATGTGATATAAAAAATCCAATACCAATGCCTTAAACTAAGATCTATGGCAAGTTTAATACACAGAAATAAAAGAAATATATTATGCACGTTTGATTTAGACTAAATCACAAAAACATTAATTTCAATGATACATTATTTTTGTGGGATTTGCAATGTATTGCATAATCCCATATAGTCAGCAATTATCTTGTGGTTTTGAGGACTTAATGTCACGTGACAGATCTTTGTGAGCATGAGTAGTCTGAGAGATACACTTGATACTAGTATTTTCCGTTGTTGTTTTCAAGTAAAGGCAGCCATTGCTACATTTTTGTGCATGGTACTTGCTAGCTCTAGTCACATTGCATTGTCAGAGAACTTCTTTTCGATTCTTTGCCCCACTTTTTGTCTGGATTTGATTGTAGTTTTCAAGGAAAGTTCTTTTTCATTTTAGCTCATTCATGCGTAAGCAATGAATGAGTATTGTGACAAAGCAAATGTTGACAGAAGTTTGTGAACAGAAATTGTGGACTATAGACGGAAGTGAAAGTGGCCTCACCACCCACCACCCCTCCCCCCTTCGGCTTATTAAAATTCCAAAGAAACGTCACTGTCGTGGCAATAAGCAAGTGCAAAGAATAATAAATGTTTTTATGGTGTAATACGTTGTAAATAGATTTTAACATCAAGTCAGAGTTTTGCAATATGGATTGAGAAGCTGAAATGTTCACACATAGGGGACCCTAAGTGGGTTATTTTGACATGTGCTACCATGAGGGAATCAACAAGGCAGTCATGGCAACCATTTTGGTTAAACACATATTTGCTTTCGTATTGTTAAGTTATCTTTGCTTTATTACCATGCTTTTCCTTCAGAATTCTTCAACATAAAATGCACACATCAATCATAGCGGCTAAGATACTGTAGTCTCACCAAACCATTTTTTCGAGCTCCAATTTTGAGACTTTCGAGGCTCACTCAAATGAAAACTGCCATACAATCTGCCTAAAATCAGCAATACATACCACAAACAATCTGTTATTAAAAGTTGTTTGACATGGCTACCAGTCACAGTAAATCAACAACAGGCAATTTTGTCGGGTTTGTAACAGTGAAGCAGGTTTGGAAGTTTAAATCCTAATGAAAAGGGAAAAGATGACTTCATCATCCTCAGCAAGGTGAAGAAATGTTCCAAGAAGGACCAAATATACCTTATTTTTTCCTGTTTTAGAAGTTTCTTTCATAAGGTTAGAATTATAATCTGCATTTATAAACTGTTACTTGAAGATACAACAGTAACTGGAGAATTATGGTGACCATTGTCAGTTTGCAAAAAACTTGCTTGTAAACAAACATTTAATCTTTGCAAGTACAAGAATTTTGTATTAAGGAGAAAATATACCTGTTTTTTTGTGATCTGGTGGTTAAATATTTGTAATGACGTTGCTTTTACTGAAGTTGTTCTATATTTTACAAAAAAATCTTTTTTTGTTTCTTTAACAAACAACTATGGTAAGGGTAACACTCCATGAATAAAAGCCAAACCTCATGGTTAACCTGAAACAAGGATATTACCAGTCTGACTAGAAATCCTAAGAAATTGAAAAGTGATTCTAATGACTTTTTAACACTTTTAGCATGTTTCAAAAACAATCTCAGTTTTGTACCTTAACATTAAGTGCTATACTACAAAACAAAGTCGGGTTACAGGGGACAGTCCTATACTGGTTCAAAACATATTTGCCTAATAGAACTTAGCTTGCGTAGCAAGCGTTTCTGTGGAGATCGGGAGCAAAGAATTACAGCACAAAAAATGGAGCGAGTAGAAGAGGGGGGAAGGGAAGGAAGGAAGGAAATGCTTGCAGACAAACCCTTGGATTTTGCTGTCATCAGCTGTCATAAATTAACCAAGAAAATCTTCAGCCTTCCATAGCGGAAGTGAACTTTGAACCAAAACAAACTTTAACTTGTCAAAATATGTCTGAAACAACAAGTGTACAGTGGGAACAGAAAAATCTCGATGACTCTGGGCGACCAATGCAGGCTTTGTAATTGCAATTTCAAAGTTAATTTTGTATAGGTAATCATGGTTTTTCTCGTTCAATTTGGAATTAATTTGCACTCAGCTCGTGCAATTTCAGCTTTTTGAAAAACTCACAAGTGCAAATTAATTCCAAATTGAATGAGAAAAACCGTATGAT